AAATAATTACCAAAATCTGTATAAAGTAAATTATAATTGCTATGTTATACATATACATATAAGAAGACATGCAATATAATTCAATTTTTAATGATTGTAAGATGTTTATCAATGACTTTTTTTTTATTAAAGCATCACCTTAAAAATTTCTACTAAAAGTGTTATCAGTTTTCTCCTCACATTTCAGATTTACTCGACTCGTTCAGTAGAGTATCTAAGTAAGAAAATCAGTTTAAAAAAATTAGGTGAAGTAAGAACGATTAGTTTGTTTCTTAGGTGTGAACTTGTATATGTGGCTTTAGGCTGGCGCACACCTCTCTGTTGTATGTATGTACATATACATATACACAATTTATTTAACGTCTTTAGTGTGGCGTGTGTGGCGCAGAGAGGCGTGCGCCAGCCTGATAAAGCCACATATACATGTTCAAACCTTAGAAAAGAACTAACCGTTCTTACTTCACCTCATTTTTTTAAACTGATTTTTTTAGGTTTCGGTCGCCCATCATTTACGATGAAGTGGCGACCAATGGCTCTAAGGGAGAAAGCGGAATTAGCCAGTGGCCAAGTGGAACTACAAACGAAAATTCTTTTACTACAATCAACTACACACGAAATACTACCAGCTTCCGTTAAAAAAAAATTAAATTTTGAAAAGTCGGTTGCCAGGTTCACATAGCCGGAACATAAGACATGTGCCTGTCGGAAAGGTGGCGTCTGCTATCGCTCGCGTCACTACGCACGCGCAGGCAATCCTGCGCTATCGAAGCCGTTGCGCCGTGTGATTAGTACACAGAGCGGTATGAGTTTGCGAGGTAGGACGGAAAAAGGTCGCGGAAGAATTTTACGATCATGGTCGGCCTACTCTTCCACGTGTTCTACTTGGTGGGCAGATGCATTTACAACAGGTATTTCAAGAAGACCGTCTACCAGCCCGGTATCGCGATCGACGAGCCGTTTGAGGAACGCGACGATACGTTCGATATCCCGGAATTGGGAACTACGTCCTGGGCACACTGTATGGTAAACAACTTTTGTCCACCGGCGTACACGCAGAGATACTGCGCGGTGACGAATGTGCTCAGAGAATACGAGGGGAAGCTCGACAAGGTATTGATACTCGGTATATTTTATTGTAACGTCACGATGTTGCGCGCGTTATATCGCGACACTACGGCCCGGTACCTCCAACGTTTCGCTGACTTCAACCTCGGGCTGCGTTCCGTTTCACGTACGATGCGCCTGATGCATTTATCTTTCAGTAATGCGCACAATGCGTTATATCGAACGTTTGGCGAATAAAAAGGATAAATGCTGCGCGTCAAGTATGAGACGGGACGCAGCTTTAGCTCGACTCGTACTCGGTTCTCGAGAAGGAATTTGCGTCGTCAGGTTCGACGATGCTTTCCACTTGTCTACACAAGTTTACGCAAGCATCGTTCTATCCTCGTTCACTGGATGTTGAAAAGGGACAGACTGGCCTTGTGTTGACTTATGTTTACACACAAGGACTATACGGGGAGACCTAGGAAGGCAGGGGGGTCAATTCTGTATCTTATACTATGGTGAAAATGCTAAGAGTCAGTAGCTTTGTCTCTTTCTAATTGTCCCCTTAGGCCCGTACCAGATGGATTGAGATTAGATTGAAATTTGACCAATTAGAGTAAAAGTTACTAATCTTGAGATCAGTGAACTTTACTGCGATTGGTAAAACTTCAATCTAATCCCAATCTCAATCCGTAGTCAGATACGGGCTTTAGAAAGAGACAAAGCCGCTTTTAGTATTTTCACCACGTTGTATGATTCAAAATTGACTCCCAGGGCTAAAGATGCCATTTATCCTAACACCAGCGGAGAAAACGTTCTTTGCCTCTTTTTAAAGAGATACAGGCTAAGTTAAAGTAACATTAAAGTTAAGACGTTGGAGAAATCAGGGCATATTTTATGTAAAATCGCTATTGCAAGGTAAAGTTTCGCAGCCTGTACCACTCTGTTGTGCGTTGGGTTCACGAAACAGATTGGTATACACTTGTAAATATCTTTGTTGCATATTTTAACCCTTTGATACCCAGTGTTCCCCCTGGGGAACACAATGTCTGGGACTTTTGTAAAAAAAACCTGCAATCAATTATGTTTTCAAGCAGTAAAAAAAGGGTAAAAGGAATAAAGGGATCTAGATGTTAAAGGGTTAAACATGCTGTTTGATGTGCAAAATATAAAATTGTTGGTAGCCGGTGTATTAATTCTCGTAATTTCCTGTGCAATTTTTGTATCTTACAATTGTTCCCACAGGTTGTCGACTTTGGATGTGCGGAGCTAGGCTTCCTGTTTTATTTGAAAGGAATACCAGAAGTGAAACGGATACTCTGTGTAGATGTGGACCGCGACATTTTGGAAAGGCACAAAAGAAAAGCGGAACCGTTGATCACAGAGATGCTGCATTCTCGACAAAGAATGCTTACAATAGAGATTTGTGAAGGCAGTGTAACGGACAATGATGTCAAGTTGTTGAATGCAAATGCTGTAATTTGTATTGAATTGTATGTTCTTGTCTTGCACCAACATTAATATCTGTAACGGTTATTTATTTATATGTCTCTTACTTAAGAAAAATATGGTTTAATTCTAGGATTGAACATTTGTATCCAGACACACTAATAGATCTTCCCTTTAATATTTTTGGTTACATTAAACCAGAGGTAGCAATAATAACAACACCAAATGTGGAATTCAATGTGCTATTTCCGAATTTCTCAGGCTACAGACATCCAGATCATAAGTTTGAATGGACGAGGAAACAGTTTCAAGACTGGTAAGTTGCAAGAAACTTGAAGACTTACCCCAATTAACTTTTTTCATTATATTGTTAACAGGGCAAATAATATTGTGTTAAGATACCCATATTATAGCGTGACATTTCACGGTATTTGTAATGGACCTGAAGGCACTGAAAGTTTAGGTGCATTAACGCAAATGGCGGTGTTTCACCGAACTTTACCAAGAGATCAGTCAAGCATAGAAGTTCTAACAGCGGATGATTATAATAAATTAATAGGACAGAAAGGGTTATTTAACACAATTGCTGAATATGATTATTATAAGGGAGGTGACAGTCGTTCGGATGAACAAAAAGTACTGGATGAAGCATTGTATTATATTAATTATTTGTCCATTAATACCACACAAGATGAAGAAGGATCAACCTGGAACCACGAAATATATTTAAAAAATATACTACACTTCATGACTAAGTGTTCTATTACCGAAGGAACGCTCAGGATGATTCTAACCAGGGCAGGACGGGACATTGAAGATCGAGAAGATGGGCCAGTAGTACTTAATCCTTCGGAGGTATCTTCTGATGATGAAACGTTCGACTATATGGACAACTACACTGAGGATGACGAAGAAAATTATGAAATTGAAAATTCGAATATGGATTGGAACGCGGAAAACATATGGGATTATACAACTGGATCATCTGTAAATGAGATACCTGCAAGTGCAAATGAATATTTATCTCGGCAAGGTTTACATGTTGACAGTATCCGTGAAGAACCTGATGTTATAAATGAGGAAAGATGGGGCTATATAACTCCATCCACAAACGAGATACGTGCAGATGCAAATGAAGAATATTCATCTCCGCAAGATTCACATGTTGACAGTTTCCGTGAAGGTCCCGATTTTATAGACGAGGAAAGATGGGACTATATAACTCCATCCACAAACGA